ATTATTTTTTATTCTTTCCCTATTTTCTTAGAGCTGATGGACTTTTCTCACTTATCAGTGATCTATTTTTTGAACTTTGACTAGATATATGACTTTCCCTGTCAAGCACTTATTACACCATCAGTTATTGATGGTCCGAGACTTGTTGGATAGTATTTGGCATATGGTATTATTTTTTATTCTTTCCCTATTTTCTTAGAGCTGATGGACTGAATGATTCTTTTTCTGACTTTTCTCCTAGTTGTACCATCAACAAATTGGCATGCATTAATATGATTTTGTATGATATTTTATTGTTTTGGCCTAGGGCTAGCAGAGTACCAACTTGTTTATGTTGTCTGTATGGTACCACTTTTATATACAGGCACCAAATAATGCTTCTTCCAGCCCAACTTCTTCGAGTCATTTTCTTTTTAATTTTCAAGGTCTAAAGATTGATGAATAGCTTCAGCTACTGTTGGGTAAAAGTTGTATGACTTCTTTTTTTCTCTGTTTTCCTATTTATACCTTTGACAAATCAGCATGCATCAAGATTATACAATTTGATATTCTATTGTACTGAGCTAAGGCAGTTGAACACTATTGACACCAAGATAAAAATTCCTTTATTATTCATGATTTTTTGTCTGTGGAACCTCTTGTTCCACAAATAAAAATTCTTTTTTTTTTGGGTAAAAGTTGTATGACTCTTCTTTTTTTTTTTTCTCTGTTTTCCTATTTGTACCTTTGACAAATCAGCATGCATCAAGATTATACAATTTGATATTCCACAGATAAAAATTCTTTTTTTTTTTGGGTAAAAGTTGTATGACTCTTCTTTTTTTTTTCTCTGTTTTCCTATTTGTACCTTTGACAAATCAGCATGCATCAAGATTATACAATTTGATATTCTATTGTACTAAGCAGTGAGCACTATTGACACCAAGATAAAAATTCCTTTGTTATTCATGATTGTTTTGTATGTGGAACCTCTTGTTCCTGTAGACAACTATTTTTTATGGAATATGTAGATATAATGGTTATTTTAGCCCAGCTTTTAGCATCACTTTCTGCTCCAAGGTCTACAGATGATGGATAGTTAAGACAAATCTACACAGTAGTAACTTGTAAAAGTAATGCTTAGGAAGAGGAGTGGAAGTATGCTTATAAGTTGGATGAATGCTATTTGGTTATAAGGTGGCATGATAACCAAGCATTGGTCTTCTCTTGATTATACTGTCTATTATTCCAAGCATGCAGAAAAAAAAAGAAATAGACATTTACATGTGTTTTTCCAGTGATTTATTTCATTTACAATGTAATCAACCCAGTGACACTTTCCCTCTTCTTGCTTTGCTTATTACAATACAGATAATCTGTTATATTCCAGGGCTAGATTACTTCGCGCAAACTTGTTGCAACCTCTAAAAGATATTGAAACTATCAATGCTCGATTAGATTGCTTGGTAAGTATATTTTATTTTATTCATATTGTATTATGTTATTTTCCCGAAGCTAATATGAAATCTTTTAATTTTGTATTCATAACAAAGAATTTTATATTTTGTGGCTACATATATTTCAGTTTATTTTTCATTTTGTATTAACCCCTCTATATTTCTTCTGGTGTTGTGCTAATTATCTTTCAGTTTACATTCATTAAATGCCTTTTAGTGATGTCTTAGTTTGAAGCTCAGAACATGATAGTCATTAAGAATCTGAATCCTGTGTTGAGATATTTACTGTCATAGTACTTATATTCAAACCAAGGTTTTAAATTATCAGACCGCCACCAATTTCGGTAACATATTAGACCTTCACAGTTCCTGTATACCAAGCTATATTATCCAAAATCATTGACTAAAACAATAAAAAAATATAAAATGGGTAGTATATGTATGATATCGAGGTGTCTGTTTTAATCATTATTACTTGGTCAGTTGGTTGTACCAATAAATACTGGTGTGTATGTACTGTTTTGACTTATATTTTATTCAGGTTATGACAGGATGTGTCAAACTATCAATGTTCTTATTTGTGATGTTTGTTGACATTTGAATATCCTCTTAAATAAATGTAGGAAAAAAGGTGCATTGTTTTATCCAATGTTGTTATCATTTCACATATGCCTTGTTCTGTATGAAACACATTTTTTATCATTTCTTGTTATTTTTAATTGTAAAATACAGTTATTGGTCACTTATTGTTCAAATTGTAAAATACGAAAACAACACCTGTATGAAACACATTTTTTATCATTTCTTATTATTTTTAATTGTAAAATACAGTTATTGGTCACTTATTGTTCAAATTGTAAAATACGAAAACAACACCTTTAAATATTTAAAGGTAAGGCTGCGTGCACATTGACTCTCCCCGGACCCCACATTGGCGGGAGCCTTGTGTACTGGGTATGCCCGGTCACTTATTGTTCAAATTCCCTTCAAGTTAAGTGTATTTTTTCAGGATGAGTTAATGAGCAATGAGGAGTTATTTTTTGGTCTGTCACAGAGTCTTCGCAAATTTCCAAAAGAAACTGGTAAGTTTGTATATTTTATTAAACAAGATTTCACATGTTGGTTATTTGTCAAATGATTACCATCAGCTGTTTAACATTCTCCTAGATAAAGTTCTCTGTCGCTTCTGCTTTAAACCTAAGAAGGTCACAGAGGAAGTTTTGAGGCCTGCAAATGGTAGGAAGATTCAGATACTGATATCAGACATCATAGTTCTCAAAACTGCTTTGGATGCACTCCCTTTCCTTTGTAAGGTATACAGATAAATTTAATTTGAGAGTATGATCATTGAGCTATGTGAAAGAAAATTGCAAAACTCATTGTCAGCTTTAGCAGTTTTAATCATTTTATTGTTCTGCATATGGTACATTTCTTTTGCATTTTAATAGCTGATTACATTCTCTGAAACCACTGCCTACTGTGTGCTTTGAGAACCATTTCTATCACCTGTTCACCACAACCACAAACCACTGACCGTGTACCTCTGTGATTATATTTGACTAAACATACCCAATATTGTTTATAGGTGCTTAAAGATGCGAAAAGTTTGCTTCTTCATAATATTTACAGGACTGTTTGTGAAAATAAAAATTATGAAGGAATGAGAAAGAGGTTTGTTCTTCTAACATTTTCTGTATTTTGTTCGTTTTCAGCATTCAAGTTCGTCTTTGCAATTTTTTTTTAGGGATATTAACTAGGCCTATTTGACAAGCTAAGCGAAATACTAACTGTTTCATGCATCTGAATCAAGGAGAGTTTTACAAGATCTTACCTTGAGTAGCTATTACTTTAATTAATAAAGATATCTTCTCTCTATTATGTTCATCACATATCTCTTCAGTGTTAAATTGAAGTCAATGTAGTGATTATTATGTTAGATTATGTCAGATTTATGTCTTACCAATCACAGGAGGTTGGTGCATGCTGGACTTTATTAACTTAATCACATAAGTCATTAGATTTTGGTAAGTGTATTCATGTTGACCTTAAGCCAATACAATGTGAACCCAATATATCTTGCTCCAAGTGTCACTTCTATTTCCGACTTCCAAAAAAAGCAAAGATTTTTACATGGTTAGCTCTAAAAGATAGGGCCCACTTGGGATAAATTATAGCAAGGAAGAGATGGGGGAGGAGAATATTATGTCTTTGGCCATCATTCCGTGACTCAGTTGGTTACATTCTCTTAAATTGACCCTTTCTCAATCAAGATTAGAGAATAAGACGTAAGTGAGCAATTTTTGCTACTTTTCAATTAGTTTTGCTGCATCTTCACCTAATTTTCAGATAAAAAATTAAACCTTGTTCAGATAATTTATTTGGTATTAATTTTGTTTTGCTACACTTAAGCTATTGATTGTGTTTTCTGTAGTAAGTTTCTCCTCTTATTTTAATACACACACATATATGAAACCTAATCCGTTTGATCTTTTCACCCAATAACTTGGATATGATGGTGCTACAAGTTCTGAATTACAATTTCAATATGTCTCGGGCGGTACATACCGGTCCGAGAGCCTCTCGACACGCGGACCGCTTGCTATTGAGCAATATCAAATTTTTGGCCCCGTATTGAGCGATACGGGGCTGTACCCGGGCAATAACGATCGAAATTTCGATCGTTACCAACCTGTACTATGTTGTAACGGTCGAAACCGATAGTTGTCGATTTATATTTATTTTCTAACGATCAATTTGACTGTTGGAGGCATCTTAAAGGGTTTCTAAACTGTTTTGCTCCCCCCTTTTTCAATTCATTTTGTTATTGCCTTGATGCTGTCGACTGTGAATCGACACGACTCATTTCCGTTCGGAAGGCCCGAGGTTGTCCTGAGAGCCCTCGTGGCAATTAGGTGAGGTGGTTGGAGTTGGTGAAGGTTCGATCGAAGCGATCTCGAGGTGGTGGTTGAACACATGAGGTTGCTTCTGAGTCGGACCGAGGTGGGCCCCGACCTCCTCGGGGTTCTAGGGGGTGAGCCGAGGCGTGCCTTAACTTCATCGGGACCCTACATAAGAGGTCAGTGTCGGGGGGGATTTCCCGATCCGACACCTTCGATAGTAAAGTTAATCTTTGTGGAGTGGGAACAATAAAGGTTTTCGAGTTTGGCGCCTTGTTCAGGCCTTGGGTTCAGCTTTTATACTTGGGCAGCCGACGAAGGAAGACCGATGGTTGGTGAAGACTAGCTCGTACGTCCTCTTGTGGCTCATTTATGTGGACGGTTGATCGATACAATTCTTTATGGCACATCGTCAGTGAAGGACACCTGCAGGGGCGTCGCTTGCCAGTCCCGACGGTTGCCCGGAACAAGTGGACGATAATCGTCTGTGGAAGCTGACTAGGGAGAGGTCAGACAAGCTTTGTTGCCTGGGGGTTATTGCTCCTGGCGGTTGGTCTATACCGACTTTCCCCGAGTCGTAGTCTACCAAGGGTAGTAGGTCATTGCCCTGTCGTTTGCTGTTGGGAAAGCGCGATGCAGGAATTTCCCTGCCTATGTCAACGTCTTGGTGGCAGCTAGTTGGCAGGTCACAACTAATGTCAGTATATTCCCTATCATTCGTCCCCCCCAGAAGGCGTGTTTTGAGACTTTGACAAGGGGGCTCGAGGCACGTCATTCGGCCTTTTTATTCATTCAGGGTCTTCGATTTTCACGTTTCGGGTGAGGATGTTTTGAAGCGGGTTGGGTTTCCCAACTCGCACGCCTCGAGCGTGTTATGCTCGACGCCCCGTTGTGGTGCGGGTCGGATTTCCGCCGTGGCGGGTCTTGGATTGATCCCCATAGCTAGGCTTGTGGCTTCGCCGTAGCAGGTCTTCAATCGATCGCCATGGCAGGATTTATGGCTCCGTCATAGTGGGTCTTATATTAATTGCTGTGGCAGGCTTCCGTCGTAGTGGGTCTTCGATCGACCGACATAACGAGGCTTGTGGCTTCGCCGTAGCGGGTCTTCGATCGCCGTGGCAGGATTTATGGCTCCACCATAGCAGCTTATGTCGTAGCGGGTCTTCGATCAACCACCGTGGTAGGATTTATGGCTCCTCTATAGCGGGTCTTTGATTTACCGCTATGACAGGATTTATGGCTTAGTCGTAGGCGCTTCTGTCGTAGCGGGTCTTTTATCGACTGCCATGGCAGGATTTGTGGCTCCGTCGTAGCGGGCTTCTGTCGTAGCGAGTCTTCGATTGATCGCCTTGGTGGGGATTTATGGCTTCCATCGTAGCGGGTCTTCAATCGATTGTTGTGGGGATTTATGGCTCCGTTGTAACGAGCTTCCGCCGAGCGACTTTTGCCATAGTAGGTCTTCGATTGACTACCGTGGTTGGATTTATGGCTCCACTGTAGCGGGTCTTCAATTAACCGTCATGGCGGGATTCGTGGCTCCGCCGTAGTGGGCTAGAACAGATGCATTCTCATTACCATATCCCGGCGGAGTACACAGTGTCCGTTCCCGAGCTCGGGTAGCGTCCCTTCCATTTGGCCCCTAGGGGTTTTTTGCCTATCACGTGATGCTCTGGAGGCGGGGTTGCACCTTCCTTTTCACCTCGTTACTGTTAATAAGGCGTATTTTGGGCCTAAGACACGTCACAATTGATGCCATACGCCAAGTCAGAATTTGTATCGAAACGCTGTTCAACATGTCCCGTCCCGAGAGCTCGGGCCGGTGTCGTCTGACGTCGCTCCGCACGTCTCGAGACGGCGACCAGTTAGAAGTGTCGTCCCATCCCTCGAGGATCAGCGGCCACGTCGAACTAGCGTGCAACCGACCCTCGTACAATAGTATAAAAGCCCTTGGCCGGCATCCGGCTTGGGAGAGGACAAAAATACAATTGAACCCATAACTGACTTGCTCGTCGGAGGGGCCAAAGTCGGGAACCACCCGACGAAGGCCATTTTTGTAGGCAAGCGGCCACTCCCGAGCCACGAGCGCCTCGACCTGGGAATCGTCGTCTAGTGAACGAAGGCGAGCTGCCAACCAGCCCGGGAACGGAGAGACGCTGCTCGACGCTCGGATCGAGAAACGCTGATCAACACCCTATTACGAGGGCCCGGCCTACCTCGGCGTCCAGCTCAGCCGACAGAGAACTCCTGACATCGACCCGTGGACCAGGCCGTGCTGACTCACCAGCCACGGCACATTTGTTCACCAAAACTTTTGGCGCTAGAGGAAGGGCCACGTCGCAGGAGCTCTCCCCGAGGGAGAACCACCGACCGGTCTCCCCTCCATCGAGCCCGGAAATCAGTCCCTCCCCACCCTCAGAGACGGGGGGATCCCGGCCTCCCGACCTTCAATGACCCAGGTTTGTCGCCCCCCAGACTTACCATAGGACCCTCGGTCGTGACACCCGAGGCGTTCCTCAACCTGACCAAGCAAGTGCAAGCTATGGCGGGCATGATGCAAACGCTCGTTCCGCTCATTCCTCATATCGTGCAGCTAGCGGCTCCCCCGACCGACCCGACCCGACCCGGCAGAGGCCGAGCGGGTAGCAAGTTGGGACGGGAGAAGCTCGAGAGCAAACGGCGGACCTGAGAGGTCCGCCCGAGCAGAACATACCCGCACCCTGCCGAATCACACCACCCCACTTTGAGCCTGACACCATATCGTCTGACTTCGCGGATGACTCGCTTAGGGCCCAACTATCCCGGGTCAACCAACACTTGGACGAGTTCCAGTGCGAGTTTCGAAAATCGCGGAGCGAGTCTAGCGAAGGCGGCTCAGGCGGATCCCCTTTTACTCAAGAAGTAGAGGACAAGCCGGTACCCCTTAATTTCAGGCTATCGGCATTAGAGACATACGACGGCGGCTCCGACCCCGAGGAGCATGTCTTCGCATTTCGGACTCAGATGGCCCTCTATGGCACCTCCAATGCATTGATGTGCCGGGCATTTCCGACCACTCTCAGGGGACCGGCACGAGCGTGGTTCAGCCGGCTGCGCCAGTAGTCTTGTCCTTCGACTAGCTCGCTAGGGAATTCGAGCAGAACTTCCTCGCCAGCGTGCGACCTAGGCCTTCCATGGCCACCCTGCTCGCGTTATCTCAGCGCGAAGATGAGTCGCTCTCCCAGTTCGTGGCACGTTTCGCCACTAAAATCCAGGGATTTTCGGACGCTCACCCTTCTTTAATCATGCAGGCATTTCTGATGGGCCTTCGAGGTTCTTTTGGTCGTTGATTGAGAAGCCGCCAGTAACTGTCTCTGAAATGCTCCAGTGCGCCAACTAGTACATCGCCGCCGAAGCGCTGGTGGCGGGGAAGCGCATGGATGGCAAGAGGCAAGGGCGGAACAATCCCGGGGAATGACCTCCGCAGCCCCGACGCAACCCCACCGAAGGCTCGAACGACAAGAGCTACTGCTCCCGAGGCCCTCGCCTCTCCCCTTGAACACGTCTCGTATCGAGATCTTTCTCCACGTCAAGGAGAAGGGTCTCTTGCGACAACCCTATCCCATGAGAACCACTCACAAAGATCGGTCCAAATATTGCAGGTTCCACCGGGACTATGACCATGACACGGAGGACTGCCGCGACCTCCAGAATCAAATCGAGGAACTGATCCGGAGAGGTCACCTCGGACGTTATCTTAAGGAACCCCGGGAAGCAACTCCACGCCCCAGGGGAGCC